CCCCAAAACCCCAAAACCCCAAAACCCCTTGATTATCGAAATTGAACAAATAATTTTGAGGAAAATTCGAATTAAATTTACTTTTTTTATTCTAAATGGCATTTTAATTGACAGGAGATGGTATTGTTGATAATCTCTACCATTTGCTTTGGACTAAAGATACAATGTTTCATAAGAAAGCTAAAATTCCAATACCTCACACAATTATTTATAAGTTTGAATAGCCTGCTCATTGGTATTTCACCTCTAAATAGGGTGAACTAATGAAAAGGAGAGGTTAAAATCTGGGGGCGAAGGAGATAGAGCAAGTATTTTTGAAAAAGATTTCGAAATCTGGTATCGTTGCTTACTACATCTATAATAAAAAAGAAAAAAATATCATAAGCATCTTGAATAAATAAGATTAAAGAGAGCGAGCAAATTAAAAGGCTGGAGTAGGAGACGATGGGAGAAGTAAAAAAAACAAAAAGGAGCTGGTGGATGAAATTCATGAGTTTATAGAGAATCAATAGGATGAAAAGGATAGAGTATTTTAAGATATGAAAGAGAAAAAAGGCGACAACTCCCCATAGACTGTCTTTGAACTCCTTGATCAAGAAGGGTTTTGTAAGTTTTTATCATTAATATGTTATAGTGGATTTCTTGTACAATAGACCGAAACCCTATGATGGAGTATTGCAGAAATTTGTCGATCCTCAGGGTGATTATAACAGTAAAAACTTTTTAAAACTTTACCCCAATTTATTAGATCAAATTAGAGTAATTTGGAGTCCAAAAATTGTCTTATTCGAAAAGAAAGTAAACAAATGCTACTTATGGAATACAAAGCTTGATATTTATCAGAGGGGTATTACATTTGAAGGTCATGATTTCTACTCTGATTATTGTATTTTTCCAAATTTTAATATCCCTTTCTAAATTTTCAATAGAAAAATTGCAAGGTACTTAGATTACTGAGTAGTCTCAGAAATTGACAGAGAAAATAGCAAAGCATCTTTCAAATGTTACATTCGACAAGTGTAGAATTTCTAGGCTTGTACTTCATTTCAAAACTGATAAAAAAGATAATATAAAATTCCTTTGGTGTTCATCATTGAGAGTGGAGAATGATAAGGAGTTCCCTCCTCCTAATGAAAAAATGAATAATCAACCTTTAAGGCTTGATTCTTGTTTACAGATCACAGACTAAGTTTACTAGGTCAATTCAATTGATTAAAAACGTCCATTCTAGTTGCTAAAAAATTCACTCTGCTATTGCTGCTTTAAACCTGTAGAATCAGATAAACTATATCCAATAAGCTACTCAGTAATTATCTAAGATCATGAAAAGAGAAATAGTAGAAAGGATATCATCACAGTATACAATGAAGATTGCGAAGTGAACTTTAAAGGAATGGAGCACTAAAAGTACCTTACCGTTCAGGGGCCGCATGTCATTCCTGCAGAGAAATCAGGATAGATAAAATTTGATGGGCCAATTCCTGAAAAAGAGATGAATCTACTTGAAAGAGCCTAAACCTAGCAGCAAGGCATGATTCCATTTATCATAAGAGTCCTTCATCCGTGACTCAAAGCAGACTAATTTGTGGAATTACTCAAAGATTAATCATTCCTCTCAAGAATAACATATCTGTGTGAAGATTGTTTCTTATATGTCACTATGTCTTCAGAAGCTAGTGGGAAATTCAACAGAGAAGTGCCAATTAAAGATCTATACGGCACTTAAAATCTAAATCCTTCAAAGATCATTAAGAATCAAGACTCATCTATAAAGAAGTAATAGCGATAGTTTGAAATGACCTAGTCTTTCCATAAGAGAACTCTAAGTTAATCAAATACCCAGAAGAATTTCATGCCGCCTTTGAAGTTAAGTGAAATCAGAGAGGCATCTAAGCTCGATAATGATGTGGATAAAGAGCAGAGGTCAAAAATCACATTGCTGACAGAGAGAAAAATATCAACACCTGGCTATTTATCCTTAAGAAACACTGAATTATTAAAGTAAAATAAAATCTTCCTAGATTAGAAAAGAGATGAGGATTAGTAAAATTAAAACAGTTAATTTAAAAGCCTGTTTACAGGAAGTTAGAGTAACTTAGGATCTAGGCTACCTACGAGATAACATGCATCCAGATAAAAAAGCAGGAATAATGATATCAAAACACTCCATGAAGAAGGTGGAGATAGTTCCTCCAATCCAGATAAGAAGCATAGTAAAGATGATAAAGTATTAGCAGAGAGTACTCAGAGCTTTTCTGATTAATTCAAAACACAAAGATCGAATTCAACAATAGAAAATGGGAATTTCTTTGCTAAGAGGAATCAATAAATAAGCACAGCGTATGGGAGTAGAGCATAGGGAAGCCTAAGCAAGAGAGATATGTCTAATTTTCAGAACATGAGAGTGCATTTCAATCTTAATACTGATATTAATCCAGATATGATAACCAACTGCAAAACAGATAGTGGAGGTCTGTTGACAAGAGTTTCAACTGCTGGGAATCTTCTTGGGATGAGTGGTGGTTTAATGACTGCAAGAAACAGAGAAAAACTTAGAATTATGAAGCAAAGCTATAACGTCAAACTATGATTGCTATTATTTGAATATTATAATGTTGATTTCATAACTTTTCAATCTTTCTAAATTAGTCCTATGGGGTTTTGGGGTTTTGGGGTTTTGGGG